ATCTACGTTACTATGTTTGAGAGAAATTTAGGGCTTTCACGGTAAAAATATAAACAAAAGCCGTGAACTAACCAATTCCCCCAAAATGTTTTCTTTCACAAAATGCAATTGTATGACAATGTTATCAGTAATTTGAATATAAAAAAGCAATTAGTGGGGCGCCTGGGTGGCGCAGTCGGTTAAGCGTCCGACTTCAGCCAGGTCACGATCTCGCGGTCCGTGTTCGAGCCCCGTGTCAGGCTCTGGGCTGATGGCTCAGAGCCTGGAGCCTGTTTCCGATTCTGTGTCTCCCTCTCTCTCTGCCCCTCCCCTGTTCATGCTCTGTCTCTCTCTGTCCCAAAAATAAATAAACGTTGAAAAATAAAAAAAATAAAAAAAATAAAAAAGCAATTAGTGTAAACTGGATAAAACCTACTTTTAAAAAAGTCTTAAATAAATTTCTATTGCAAAGACTGTAATTAATAATTATAATGGCAGAATGCTATATTATTAAAGAACAGAGACTGTGGGCACTTCTCTAGATGTATACAAGAATAGCTTTCTTCATTTAAGTCTTTACAGGGGATGAAAGGAATGCAAAAAGAACATCTGCAAATTTCCAAATGACATCTAATCAAAAGTCAACTAAGATTATAAACATTGTGAACAAAAAGTGGTAATCAATTTTATCACAAGCAAAAATACAAGTTCACTTAAGGTGTACAGCTAACTTAGATGTATAAAATGAAATGTAGATATGACATAGATGATGCAATCTTAGAAATCATTACAGTCATGGGGCACCTGGGTGGCTCAGTCGGTCAAGCGTCCGACTTCAGCTCAGGTCATGATCTCACAGTTCGTGAGTTCCAGCCCTGCATCAGGCTCTGTGCTAACAGCTTGGAGCCTGGAGCCTGCTTCAGATTCTGTGTCTCCCTCCTCTCTCTGCCCCTCCCCAGCTTGCTCTCTGTCTCTCTCTAAAAAACAACAACAACAACAAAAATTTAAAAAGAAAAAAGAAATCATTATAGTCATTCCTTAAAATCATCAGTCCTAAATACCATCCTTAACTGTATACTCTTGGGACCTTAGCAGAAATGTAATATAGTAAATAAAAACTACAATACATTTAAATCTGGCATATTGGATACAGCTCCGATTGCTGCAGCTCAAAAACAGACAATAAAACTAAGTAAAGAGATTTAAATGACCATGGATTTGGAGAACAGATCTATGAAAACAGACCATGACCATCAAAAATACAGAGAGAACAGTGTACTCTCCACAATCTCATCTTAAGAAAATTCATTAGAATATAAGAAACAAATGCATCATAAACTTGACTAACGAAATTAATGAACAGAGTTTCTAAGAGAAACTGGATCAATATTTATTCTAAGGTTGATACTGGAGAGGATGTTCTCCCACAGTATAGAACTTGGAGATACTGTTGGCGCCAGGGCTTTTCTACTTCACCAGATTTATCTTGAGCTTCACGTTGTAAGGCCATTCTTTAATTTCTAACCCCAATTACATAAACCTTATGCATCCAGTGAACAAAGGGTAGACTTATCTAATTAGGTTACATATAGAAGTCACTTAGTGCGGACAGTGATCCAACCCTCCAAGAGAAATTGACAATAAAACTCAATGATAAAAGATAGTTTCTGGGTCACCAACACATGTCCACACTGACTTTATTCTAAAACACAACAGCGCTTAAATTTTAGGGGAGATATTACTTTTAAATTAGTCACCGTGGGAAAATACAATAAATCCACATAAACATTAAACATATTTTGATATAATGCATATATTATAAAACTACATAAAGTTTGTAACTATCATCTCAAAATTTAAGCTTGTTAGTGTTTAATTTACTGACTGGTGTTCCGTTTGTGGTGAAACTCATGCTTTTTGTAAGTTTACTATGACATTCCATTATAACCCTATAAGAAAAATTTTCCCAATGATGTGGGGGAGTATGAATTTAAAAGTGACTCACATTCAATTTGAGACCACCCCCTTCACCCTAAAAGAATAGGGAAAAAAAAAAGATAAAAGAGTGAGGCTGTGCAATTGATGCAAGAGCACCAATACAAATATTAAAACCACTTTTGATAAAATAGCAAAGGTAAAAAAGACAACAGTTAGATATGAAGGGTGCAATGTTACTTTTTAAAATAGAAATTAACATCAGATTTCAGATTTCAATTATCCTGCTAATAACAATTTAATGTAAAATGCTGAAGTTTACCTTCATACATATATGGCATTAAGTGGGGTAATAAAAATAATACTTTGGCTTTTTAATGAATGATGGCATTTAAGTAAATTAGGGAAAGAATGCAAGTGACCCAGGCTTCACCATTTAATTTAAAGGTCAAGCTGTGAATTTTGGCTGTAAGCAAGATACCTGTTTTAAAGCACACCAACCAGGCCATAGAGACAAATTATGAAAGAGGGAGGGTTCAAAAAGAGAAGTATAGTCTTGTGGTGAGATCATTACTAGAAGTAGAAAAGCAAGCCTGATTCAGCAAATGAGACCTCTGTAGCCACATAAAGAATTTCCAGAACTATTTTGACTTGTGATTTCTACCAGCATTTTCCAAGGCTACTTAAGGAAAGCCACATTTGTATTAGTATTCATTAGTTTACGACTGCCTTTGGAGCCAATTTAATAAAAATGTAATTCTCTCGATCTAAATTGTTATTGCCAAAGAGGCTTCCTCTCTCTTCCATAACACTATCACTGACCTAAGTTCTGTGCACAAGAAATAACTAGGAAAATGGAAATAGAATAAGACTCATGTAGATTTAAAAGAGAAAGAGAAGCAAAGGAGCCTTTGGGAGACCAAAATGTATACAAACACATATACTGTTCAAACAAGATAAACCTCTATGACAATCTGATAAACCAAATCACTTATGATCAGAAGAGATTACAACAGGAATCAATCTAAGCTATGAAGCTGTTCCTTCCAAATAGAAAAAAAAAAAAATTATGGACCTTTTCAAAGACTGTTTTCTTAGCAAAAAGGTCCTAATAACAATCTACCAATAGCATAGTCTTCCACAGTCTATTTTTTCTACACACGCCTTTCAGAATAACATTCTAAAAATAGCTGTGATAAAAAGAGCAAAAAATATAGTGAGAATTAAGACAAGGTTAAGTATGTTTAAACACTATGCAACTTTCTGTTAACAGATGCAACACAGTATGCAAGTTACTCTGAAAAAAAGACCAAACTCACACCTTTCACAAATTAAAATAAAATTTTCAACTAAACAGCATTACTCGACTTTTCAAGATTTACAGGTTGCAGGTTATATTCTTTAGTACTGGAGAATAAGTTTTACTTCAAAACTAATTATACACACCTCTGCCATTTTATGTTTGAAGGAAATTTGACGTTTAGGTCACCAAAAACTTAAGGAGACAACAAATGCTGTGATAAATAGGAACGCTGACACCGTAAGAAATTACTGTTAGCAAATCAAATATTTCTGCTAAACATTTAACTTTCAAAGGATCATTTCAAAAGAATGTTTGAATTAAATTAAGCCCAATTCACAATATTTGAAACAATGAGTCCAATACAATTAAGATGTACAACAGAATGACTAGGCCAAGTTACACTGTACATTACTATTTAAAATTATTCAAATGTTAACTATAAAATTTAAATGAATACCGATGTCATAACTGTTAGAGTAAATGTTTCTTATTTACCTTTTATCTCAAAAACCTGGCAAAGCCTAACAAAGTGCCCAGCAGCTTGTCATCACAAATTAAAAAACTAGAAACATTTTGCATTTCAACCAAAACGTTTATCACACGGTTTACATTCAGTGTTACCTTAGAACACTAAATCAAAAGTGAAATCCACGACCAACTTTTTTCTGCGTATCGATTTACTTCAAAATTTGGTTATGGTAAAAATAAGCAATAAGATAGTACTTACATTTCTACTGAATTTGGTGAAAGAATGGTGCATATAAAACCTGTGCATATAAACAATCGCAGTGTTTATTGTAAGCTGAGAGCTGGAACGTAACATTTAGGAAATAGCCGAGAAAAACAGGACCTAATTTCTAAAACAATTTTGATGGAAAATTCCCCACCTACGGTATTTTTCCAATGCTTACAGTTCACTCAAAACGAACCCCAAAACTATACACATAAAACAAAACCCCGCAGGGTGGTGGTGATGGTAGGCTCGACGCCAACTATAATAAGTGCTGAGCATTTCACTCCAATATTGCTATTAAGCCAGCCCGGGAAGGATTTATCAATGGCTACGACTCACTAAACTCAGCATCAGACAGTTGAAATGCGCGCGCGCACATCCATACAAAACCACGCCAAGAACATAAAGACCTCCAGTGAGCTCCCAAGGTACGAGACCCGCCATCAAACCAGCGAGGAACGCGGGGAGAAGCTGCGGAGACGACTTCACGCCTTTCAGCATCGGTAACCCTTCCACTTCTCGGCCTCTTCTCCGACGAGAAGTGGAAATAGCTGCCTCTTTTCTGCGATAATCCCTAAAATTCCCCCCTGGCCTCGGCGGCCTTCCCATCCCCCGCCGCCACCACGCGCGGCCCCAAACAGATTACACAACGCAGTCTCCTAGCCCGCATTCCAGGACTCCTCTCCTCCCCTCCTTCACTGGCCGGCTTCGGCCTCCCGAGCCCAAGCTCGCCTTCCCTTACGGCGCGGGCGAGTCTCAGCGAAGGCCGAGGCGGCGGCGCCATGTTTGCGGGGCACCAGGCCCGGAGAACAGGCGACCGGGAGAATAGTGAGGGGGGACAGGGCGTGAGCGGCGGAGGGCCAAGAGCAGGAAAGGATACACATTGAGACGCTGTCCCATGTCCTGGATGAGGTTGGCCGCCTGCTGGCGGTATGAGAGCTCTTTATCCGCCTCCATTCCGCAGCGGCGGCTCGGCGTGTTCTCCAGCTGTTCCCGAGTAAAGAACCAGCGAGAAGAAGCTCCACGGCCCGACGCCATGACACTTCCTCCTCCGCCCGCTCCCTCACCCACCCCCCTCCCCTCCCCTCCCGGCTCGCGGACTCCCCGCCAAGGCCGCGCGACCCCGCCCCAGTCCGCTCGCCGTAGAACACGCACCGCCCCTTTTTACTCTTGTCGCTGCCCGTGCGCGTGCGCGGGGCCGCCCTGCCGCCTCGCCCTAGTCTTTTGCTTTCTTTTTTCTGCCCCGGGCCTCGCTCTTACGCACGGGACCACAATGCCCCGCGCCGCTTGTCATTTGGAGGCGCCTGGAGGTGGGGGTCTGCTCGGAAGGAAAAGGTCGGCGCGAGGGACGCTGGGTCTTGGATTGGCTGGGTGAAGGGGCGGGGAGGAGAAGGGAAGGGGCTGGCCAGAGGTCGCGTAGAGAGGGAAGCGGGCGGGCGGTTGTGCCGTGAGGCCTGGGCGTGGACTTTGAAGTCCCGGTGGCGTCTCGGGCTGGGAGTCTGGTGGCGTTTGAAAGGGAGAAAAGCCGTACCCTTCTCCAGGCGCACGCCGCAACTTCCACTTTCTTCGTTTTGGTCTGCTCAGTCTCGTAGGCATTTCCCCGAGTTGGAAAAGTGTCCACGACGGAAAGCCTCTGCTTTCGGGCGGCTCTGCGGAGGACGCACCTGGGAAGAGTGCATGAGTAACAGCGCTCCACCTGTGTGTTGTGCTTGAGTGCTTTTTTTCCCCCCTATGTTGTCCACAGCCACTTAGACCGTGGGGTTTATTTTTGAGATTTCTGGGCCAAAGGGTATATCCAGTTAGAAAGTGTAAGAGCTGAATTTTTAAACGAGATTCGGTAGCGTGTTTTTAAACCACGCTGTGATTGAAAACAAAGTAAAAGGAGAAACAGTACAAGGTAACATTTTTGCTTAGTGGTTAAGTCTAACACCACATGTATCAATTGATTAATCTCTTCCGCCTTTGTAAGAGACTACTGCAGTAGAGTTTCTTTCCGCGAATAGATAGGTCTCCGACTCTGAGCCATTGCATATTGGCCTGTGAATAAAATTTATCTTCTAAATTGTAACTATTTGGGGGCACCTGGGTGGCCCAGTCTTTGAGCATTGGGCTCTTGATTTCAGCTCAGGTCATGATCCTGAGGTACTTGAGATGGAGCCTCACCTTGGGCTCTGTGCTGACAGTGTAGAGCCTGCTTGGGATTTTCTCACTCCCTCTGCCTCCTCCCCACTCGCGTGTGCTCTCTTGCTCCCATAAATAAATAAATAACTTTATTTGGCAAAGACTACAGAGAACAGGCAGAAGTATTTCTAAAAAGCAACCGATAATGCTTTTAAGTGAGTTTCTTATTAATGCTCCAGGCCTTTGTCCTCGTTTGGGGGCTTAGCCTATGTGCAGTGTATTGCCGTATTTTGGCTTTGGCTGTATCGGTTACATATTTAATATAGAGCTATTGATTTGGTTGCAGTAGGCAGTTTGTAACAGTTTTCTACGTAACTTTATTTCTTACCTACATTGCTTGCTTCACACCTGTCCCTGCTTAGAGAAGTTCTGGGATAGATTGATTTAAAGCCCCATTTATAAGGTGCTTACCCCCAACACTCGTTATGATACAAACTCAAACTAAGAATATAAGAGAATTTCTCAACTTGTTGAAGAAAATTTGTAAAAACCCTCCTGTTAGTATCATAATTAATGGTGAGAAACTAGAAGCTTTCCTGCTAAGGCAAAGATGTCCCCTCTCATCACACCTTTCAAAACTGTACTGGAAATCCTTGCTAATACAGTAAGAAAGGTAAGTAAAAAGTGAACAGATTGAGAAGGAAAAAAAATATGTTGAGGGATAGCATACTTTTTTGTATTTTTGTATTTCAAAGTATTGAAAAAAATGGAACAAGTGATTATTGCAAGATTTTAAGATACAAAGTTATTACCCAGGAGTCATTTGCTTTCCCATATACCAGCAATGTCCAATTGGTATTTGAAATTTAAAACACAATACCATTTATAAAAATTAATAGGTATGAATCTAAAATATGTTACGATCTATGTGTAGAACTGCAAAACTCTAAGGCAATCAAAGAAGATATAAAAAAGAATATTTTGGGTTTATGGATTGGAAGACACTATCATTTGATGTCAATTCTTCCCAACTTGATCTATAGATTCAGTGCAATCTCAATCAAAAGTTTAGCAAGTTATTTTGTAGATTTCAACAAATTGATTCTGCAGTTTATACAGAAAGGCAAAAGACTGTCCCAAACCAGCACAATCTGAAGAAGTTGGACTGATGCTACCTGATCTCAAAGCTACAGTAAGACAGCATATATTGGCAAAAGAATAGATCAATGAAACAGGATAGAGAACCCAGAAATAGACCCACAAAAATGGTCAACTGATTTTTGAAAAAGGAGCAAAAGCAATATAATTGAGAAAGGATAGTCTTTTCAACAAATGATGCTAGAAAAACTGGATATTCATATGCAAAAAAAAAAAAAAAACTACACACAGACCTCACACTGTTCACAATAATTAATTCTAAATAGATCATATCCCTAAATGTAAAATGCAAAACTATAAAGCTTCTAGAAGATGGCACAAGAGAAGACTAGGTGACCTTTTTTTTTTGTTTGGCAATTGTTTTCACATACAACACCAAAAGCATGATCCATGAAAGAAAAGATTAAGTTGGATTTCACTAGAATTAAAGACCTTTGCTCTGCAAATGACCCCGCAAAGAAAGTAAAAATATGAAAAACTCTGCAAACACGTATCTGATAAAATACTTCTATCCAAAATATAAAAGAACTCTTAGAATTCAACAGTAATACGTCCCAATTTTTAAAAAAATTGAAACATAATTAACATATATCGGTTTTAGGCATAGAATATGTAGATTCAACAATTCTCTACATTACTCAGTGCTCACTGCAATGTTTTTTTCATCTGTTACCATATGTTATTGCAATATTATTCACTATATTTCCTATGCTGTACTCTATCTTACTGACTTATTTTATAACTGGAAAATTGTATCTCTTAATCCCCTTTATATATTTCACCCATCCCCTACCCACCTCCCCTCTGGAAACCACCAGTTTGTTCTCTGTATTTAAGAGTTTTGTTTGTTTTTTTAGATTCCAAATATGAGTGAAATTGTATTTGTCTTTCTCAGTCTATTTCACTTAGCATAACACCCTTTATGTCCATCTCTGTTGTTGCAAATGGCAAGGTCTCACTCTTTTTTATGGCTGAGTAATATATCATTGTGTGTGTTTGCACACACACACTTGATGTCTTTATTCATCCATAGATGCGTGATTGGATTGCTTCCATATCTTGGCTATTGTAAATAATGCTGCAATTAACATAGGGGTGCATGTATCTTTTCAAATTAGTGTTTTCATTTTCTTTGGGTAAATACCTAGTAGTGGAATTACTAGATCATGGGGTACTTTTATTTTTAACTTTTTAAAAGTGTTTTATTTATTTTTGAGAGAGAGCGAGAGAGAGAGCATGGACAGGGGAGGGAGCAGAGAGAGAGGGAGACACAGAATCTGAAACAGGCTCCAGGTTCTGAGCTGTCAGCAAGGAGCCCGATGCGAGGATCTACCTCACAAACTGTGAGATTGTAACCTGAGCTGAAGTCGGATGCTTACCAACTCAGCCACCCAGGTGCCCCATCTAACTTTTTTTTGTTTTTTTAAGTTTAGCTTGAGAGAGAGGGTGCATGCCAGAGAGCAGAGGAGGGGCAGAGAGAGAGCGAGAGAGACTACCAAGCAGGCTCCTCACTGTCAGCATGGAGCCCTGAAGATCTTGAACTCACAAACCATGAGATCATGACCTGAGCCAAAATCAAGAGTCGGACGCTCAAATGACTGAGCCACCCAGGCACCCTCTATTTTTAGCTTTTTAAAAAAATTTTATTTTTAATTTTTTTAAATTTATGTCCAAATTAGTTAGCATACAGTGCAACAATGATTTCAGCAGTAGATTCCTTAGTGCCCCTTATCCATTTAGCCCATCCCCCCCGCCACAACCCTTCCAGTAACCCTCAGTTTGTTCTCCATATTTATGAGTCTCTTCTGTTTTGTCCCCCTCCCTGTTTTTATATTATTTTTGTTTCCCTTATTTTCATCTGTCTTGTCTCTTAAAGTCCTCATATGAGTGAAGTCATATGATTTTTGTCTTTCTCTGACTAATTTTACTTAGCATAATACCCTCCAGTTCCATCCACGTAGTTACAAATGGCAAGATTTCATTCTTTTTGATTGCCGAGTAACACTCCATTTTATGTATATACCACATCTTCTTTATCCATTCATCCATCGATGGACATTTGGGCTCTTTCCATACTTTGGCTATTGTTGATAGTGCGGCTATAAACATGGGGGTGCATGTGTCCCTTTGAAACAGCGCACCTGTATCCCTTGGATAAATGCCTAGTGGTGCAATTTCTGGGTCGTAGGGTAGTTCTGTTTTTAGTTTTTTGGGGAACTGCCATACTGTTTTCCAGAGTGGCTGCACCAGCTTGCATTCCCATATTTTTAGCCTTTTGAGGAACCTCTGTACCATTTTCCACAGTGTCTGTACCAGTTTACATGCCCACCAATACTACATAAGGGTACCTTTTTCTCCACATCTTCACCAACACTTGCTCTTTCTTTTTTTTTTTTTTAATTATTTTTTATTTTTAGAGAGAGCACATGTGCAAGGAGGGGAGAGGCAGAGAAAGGGAGAGAGAATTCTAAGCAGGCTCTTTGCTGATAGTGCAGAACCTAATGCGGGGCTTGATCTCATGAACCGTGAGATCATGACCTGAGATGAAATAAAAAGTTGGATGCAACAGAGCCATCCAGACACCCCTATTTCTTGTGGTTTTAATTTTAGCCATTATGACAGGTATGAGTTGATGTCTCATTGTGGCTTTGGTTTGCATTTTCTTGATGATTAGTGATGTTGAGCATCTTTTCATGTGTCTGTTGGCCATCTGTCTTTTTTGGAAAAATGACTATTTAGGTCCTTTGCCCATTTTTAATTTTTTTTTAATGTTTTTATTTATTCTCGAGACAGAGAGAGACAGAGCATGAGCAGGGGAGGGGCAGAGAGAGAGGGAGACACAGAATCTGAAGCAGGCTCCAGGCTCTGAGCTGTCAACACAGAGCCCAACGCGGGGCTTGAACTCACGGACTGTGAGATCATGACTTGAGTTGAAGTCGGACACATAACTGATTGAGCCATCCAGGAGCCCCTTAGCATTTAAAAAAATTTTTTTTAATGTTTTTTCCTTTGGCTATTTTTAATTGGAATTTCATTATTATTATTATTATTATTATTATTATTATATTATTATTATTATTGGTGTAAACTTGTATAAGTTCTTCATTTATTTTGGATATTAACCGCTTATTGGATATATCATTTGCAAATATCTTCATTTTGTTTTTTTGGTGGTTTCCTTCACAATGCAAAAGCTTTTTATTTTGATGTGGTCCCAGTAGTTTATTTTTGCTTTTGTTTCCTCTACCTGAGAAGACATACATACAAAGATGTTGCTGAGATTGATGTCCAAGAGATTAGTGCCTATATTTTCTTCTAGGAGTTTTATGATCTCGGATCTTGAATCCAGTTTGAGTTCACTTTTGTGTCTGGTGTGAGAAAGTTGTCCACTTTCATTCTTTGGTATGTAGCTGTCCAGTTTCCCCAGAACTGTTTATTGAAGTGATTGTCTTTTCCTCATTGTATATTTTTGCCTCATGCCTGGTAAGCATGAGTTTATTTCTGGGTTCTATTCTGTTCCATTGATCTATGTGTCCATTTTTTATACTGTTTTGATTACTACAGCTTTGTAGTATATCTTGAAATTTGGGATTGTGATACCTCCAGCAAGTTCGGCTGCCCATTGCTTGAAAAGCCATTACTCAAGAGCAAATTTTTTCATTTGTTTTTTAAAAGTTTATTGATTTATTTTGAGAGAGAGCGCATGTGCATGACCAGGGGAGGAGCAGAGAGAGAGAGGGAGAGAGAGAATCTCAAGCATGCTCCCCACTGTCAATGCAGCTCTGGTCATAGGGCTGGATCCCATGAACTGTGAGATCATTACCTGAGCTGAAATCAAGAGTTGGACACTCAACTGATTGAGCCACTCAGGTGCCACTCAAGAGACAAATTTTGATTAGAAAGGAATTTGAGCTTTAATCTGAAGGCTGGCAACCTGAGGAGAAGGTGAACTCTTGTCCAAAAGCTGACTCCGAGGGGCCTCAGTTGGTTAAGTGTCCAACTTCGGCTCAGGTCATCATCTCGTGGTCAGTGAGATCGAGCCCTGCGTTGAGCTCTGTGTTGACAGTGTGGAGCCTGCTTGGGATTCTCTGTCTTCCTCTCTCTGCCCCTCCCCCACTCACACTCTATCTCTTCCTCTCAAAATTAATAAATAAATCTTTATTTTATTTTTTAAATGTTTATTTTTTGAGAGCGTGCACATGCAAGAGATAGAGATAGATAGAGTTAGTGGGGGAGGGGCAGAGAGAAAATCTGAAGCAGGCTCCCGGCTCTGAGTTGTCAGCACAGAGCCTGATACAAGGACCACAAACCGTGAGATCGTGACTTAACCAACTGGGCCACCCAAGCACCCCACTAAATAAAACTTTAAATTAAAAAAAAACCAAAACAAGAGCCAACTCCGAGGTTTCTGCCTGGTGCAGGAGTTTTTAAAGAGGTTTAGGGTGGTTAATCAGCAAACAGAGTGCAGTGGCCTGCAACCTTTCTTGATTATGTGAAGACTTGATGCCAGCTACAAAAGTTATCTCAGTGTTTGTGGGTTGTGCAACAGAGTCTGGTTCTTGTTTCATGATATGCAGTAGTACTCTGTTCTTTCTGCAGAGAAGGGCTGGGTTTACAGATAACAATGAGAGGTCAGTAAAATCATTTGTGTGGCCTAAAAAAAGAAAAACATTTTGCTAAAAAAATTTTAGGCTAATGAGAAAGCCTAGGTGGCTTCAAACAGAATTGCTGGCTTCTGTGACCTGGGAAAGTTCTGGTCCTTATTCCTCAAGATCAGTGGTCTGCAAATCTCAAAGAAAGTAAATTAGTTCTGTTACAGATAAAGGGACTCAGGTCAGCAAGTAAGGAATGTTTTATCTTGAGGCAAGTTAACACATAAGATCATCTGGAGTGCTGTTACCTTTGATAGGGATTGCATTAAATCTATAGATTGCTTTGGGTAGTATGCACATTTTAACAATGTTGATTCTTCGAATCTATCAGTATGTAATAGCTTTCCTTTTGTTTGTGTCAGTGTTTTGTAGTTTTCACAGTGCAGGTCTTTTACCTCTTGGTTAAGTTTATTCTTGGATATTTTATTTTTTATCAGTTTCTAATAGTTTTTTGGTGGAGTCTTTAGGGTTTTCTATATATAAGATCTGCAAATAGTGAGTTTTACTTCTTCCTTACCAATTTGCATGGCTTTTACTTCTTTTTGTTGTCTGAGCTGTGGCTAGGACTTTGAGGACTATGTTGAATAAAAGTAGTGAGAGTGGGTATCCTCTTGATACTGACCTTAGAGGAAATGCTTTCAGTTTTTCACCATTGAGTATGATGTTGGTTGTGGGTTTTTCATATATGGCTCTTACTAGGTTGAGGTATGTTTCCTCTAAACCCACTTTGTTGAGAGGAAAACATCCCACTTTTAAACTGGGTAAAAGATCTGAACGCACATCTCACAAAGAAGATATACAGATGGCAAATAAGCATATGAAAAGATTTTCAACATTTTTATGTCATAAGGGTGTTCTTAGTAGTAGTTTATCACTGCAAAAGAGTGGAAGCATGACTGTCCTTGAATTGAATTGCAATGTAATACTGTTCAGCTAGTAAAAGGAAGAAGGCATCCAAGTGTTGAAAGGGAAACAAAACAAAACTGTCAACTAAGAATGCCTGGCAAAGTTGTCCTTCAGAATTGAAAGATAAAGAATTTTCCGGACAAAGACAATCTCAAGGAGCTCCTCACCACTAGACTGGCCTTACATGAAATGTTAAAGGGACTTCTTTAAGCTGAAATTAAAGGGTACTAATTAGTAACAAGAAAACATATGAAAATATAAATCTCACCGATAAAGGTAAGTATGTAGTAAAAATCATAATAATCTAATGTTGCAAAGGTGTTGGGTTAATCACTTCTAAATCTTGTGTGAAGGTTAAAAGAAAAGCATTATTAACTGTAACTATAATAATTTGTTAATGGATACATAAGATAAAAAAATGTAAACTGTGGTATGAAAGACATAAAACGTGGGGGCTGAGTTTAATTGTAGAGCTTTAGAATGCATCCAAACTTAAGTTATCAACGAAGATAGACTGTTATAAAAAGAAGGCAGCTTAAATGTGGAATGGTCATCAAGGTATTCAGTAGAAAAAACAAGCAAGATGCCACTGTCTGGGTAAAATGAACAAAGGAATCTGCACATGTAAGTACTTGTATTGTCCTAGATGATCTCTGCAAGAATATCCAAAAGAACAGTTAAAATGGGTTCCTTTTAGGATAGGTTGAATTGGATTTTTTTGAACTCTTCTTCTAATATATTCATGTATTGACTTTTCAAAAAAACTTAAAAATTACATGCCAATACTGAACTCTTGGTTTTCTGAACTAATGGAAGGGAAAAGAACTATGAATGAATACAAGGCAAGAGGGTAATTTTGAAAAATTATATTTGGTTTTTAGAATTCAGCCAGAGGTACATGAACCACAGATGTTCATCACCCCTCCAAGACCAAGTTCGTTTTCAGCAGCCCAGATGAGACCACCATAAATGAAGTAAGTAGAATAAGGCCACCCTGGTATCACTCTGCTCAATCTCCATAACTATCTTTACACATTTTGCTCAGTATTTTAAATTAAAAGAGCTTCTGGTAAAGGTAAATTATAGACTGGAACTGTTTTCCAGAATAGGTAAGTTCTCATTCAGTTTGAAACCCCTGTTCTTATAGTTTTGCCCCTTTGTCTATTTCCCATCCTCCAACTCTGAACAAGCCTTTCTATCCTTAGAGACTCAGCCCAACTTCTGTGCAGATCTGCTCCAGTTTGAACCCAAATGAATTTTTCTTACTGAAACTTCTATAACTCCTAATATATTGTTTAGTAATTATTCCATGAACATGTGTCTTGCCTCTTTAATTGGACTATAAACTCTCTAGGGATTATGGGATATATTATATATATGTATGTATGTATATATGTGTATATATATGTATGTATATATATATGTGTGTGTGTGTGTGTGTACATATCACTTATTTTTTTGGACTCTAAAGCATTCCCAGTCCAGTTGTGGACCAATGGAAGGTGTTAAAAGTGAATGAAAACAGGTTATTTGGGCCCCATTCACATATACTTGCTCAAAGTGGAGAACCTACCTCAGCCCTCCAGGATGAGTCTGGTTTTGGTCTTTCTCCATATAAATCATGAATGACATTTGGTTTTTATTTCTGCCATTAATTTAAAAAGCGCTGGGAAAATCATTTTTGATTTGCACATGAAATAATATATTGCTTTTCAGAATGAAAACAAATTCTGTGACTCATTTTTGTTATGAATAATTTAGAACATTTGTGTATATCCTATTTCTGGATAAAATAGTTCAAAATAAGATTTTAGTAATGCATGTGTGATACATATTTAAAAACAAAAATAAAATATCTTCTTGAATGTTTGTCTTTGTAGTAAATGCAAGTCATTCAAATTGTTTTCTCTCAAGACCCAAAAATGCTAGGGCATTGCCAGCTTTGAGTCTATCCTGCAAAAGAAAAAAAAGTTTTATTTTATTTTATTTTGTTTTGTTTTGGGGGGGGGGGCAGAGAGAGAGAGAGAGAGAGAGAGAGAGGGAGAATCTTAAGCAGGCTCCACACTCAGCCAGAAGCCCAGTGTGGGCCTCAATCCCATGACCCTGGGATCATGACCTGCGCTGAAGTCAAGAGTGGGATGCTCAACCAACTGAGCCACCCAGGTGCCCCAACGTTTTTTTTTTAAAGCATTATTTAATGGTTGTTTTAAAATACTTATTGAGTGTCTTTATCAGGTTTTTAAAAGATGAATTTCCCAATGTGAGAGAAAAATATTAGCAAGTTAAACAATGAATCTCTTGCCCCCTGTTTTTCCCCACTATTTGAAATCTGTTTCAAACTTGGTCATGGGAACAAAGGAGAATTATAAGGGGGGAGAGCTCTCTTAGGAAAAAACGCCTTTCTTTGGAAACCTCTGCAGGACCCTCTAGTGGGTTTCAAGGACTATTTAGAGGCAAATATAGCTGACCCTTCAACAACAGGAGTTTGAACTGTGTAAGTTCACTTACATTTGGATTTTTTTGAATAAATATATTGGAAAAATTTTTTGAGATTTGTGACAATTTGGAAAAACTCGCAAACTGTGTAACCTAAAAGTAGTGAAAAGTTTTTTAAAAAGTTAGGTGTTATTGTAACATTACGGTGTATAATACATGTAATATACAAAATATGTGTTAATTGACTGTGTTATTGGTAAGGCTTGTGGTCAACAGCAGGCTATTTGTAAAGTTTTTGGGGGGTCAAAGGTTATACATGAATTTCGATGTAGGAGTTAGCATCCCTAACTCAGTGTTGTTCAAAGGTCAACTGCATAGAGAAAAGGTACACTGTAGGTCTGTGGGACAGGAGAGCTGGAAACAGTGCCCAGAAATCTTGTAGCCATCCTCCAGTTTCTAGGCTTATGTGTTATCCCTTCACATGGCCCTGAATAAAAGGTAAGCTCTTTTGGTGCAAGAAAAGTGACAGATGAAGCACCTCAGAATATGGTACAAGTATGTATATTTATAGATTTCAGATGAGAAAAGGACTCTGAAATTTTTCTTCACTTTCTTCCCAGTTATAGACTAGGTCAGCTCCACAAAGAAACTCCTGTGACTTAAGGGGTAACTTTTGAGATACCCTAATTGATATATGTCCAGCTTGCAAAGGGCAGGCAAGAATGGAAGGAAATGTATGGAGTTGTGTAACATTTGTGGATATTAATGCATTTCAGTGTATCTTAACGGCTTCAGGGTTCTCAAACAGCCTTGGAGAGTGGGTGATTTGAGCAGGGACCTCTTATTCAGGGTTCTTCCTTGATCCACACTTGGACCATTCCCTCTAAAGAAAGCTTTTAGAAGTGACTCCTGCTGCTCTGAGAAACTGTGTGCTTTACCTTTACAAATAGGTTGGTGCCAACTACCGTTTGAAGAAGATACATTTTGGTGTGTTGGATTTGGGATTCGGTCCATGTGCTGTAATCCAACGGTTAATATTGCCTTTGGTAAATCACCCAGCATCCAAATCTTGTTTTCCTCCTCTGCATCTGCATGCTGGAATGCAACTACCTGTCTACCTCCCAGTGTTGTTATGGTCATCAAATGGGTTTGTTTATTTCATTTAAAAAATGTTTTAGTGAGATTTACCTTCATATGGCTCAAAATTCGAAAGATACAAAATGGATGCTTCCTTTCACTATTGCCACCCAACCAGTACGTTTTCTTCCCAGAGTTATTAGTTTCTTGTCTGTTTTTCCCAAATGTATTTATGCATATATTAGCAAATACTTGTGTTTAGGTATATAGGTTTTTTCATAAATGGTTAGTATATTATACACAAATGGAAGTACACTATATGTGTTGTTTTGTACCTTGCTTTTTAAACTTAATATATCTTGGAAATTGATTTTTAATTTTTTTATACATTCCATTGTATGGATATATTATTGTTTATTCCCCTATAGATTCTTTTCAGTCTTTTATTATAAACAGTGTTACAGTGAGCAGTCTTTTAAGGAATGTCATGAATTTGTGACAGTGTAAAATTTTCATGCAAGAGTTTTTAAAAACTTTGACCTTAAAAGTCATAAGCATGGGGGCGCCTGGGTGGCTCAGTTGGTTAAGTGACTGACTCTTGATTTTGGCTTAGGTCATGATCTTCAACCCATGGTGGGTTCCATGCTAACAGTGCAGAGCCTGCTTGAGATTCTCTCCACTCTGTCTGCCCCTACCCCTGCTCATACTTTCTCTCTCAAAATAAATAAAGAAATATTAAAAAACATCATAGCACATAAAATTAAAAAACTAGAGGTATAAAATAATAGTAGTTATTATTCCATTAAAGTTTTGTAAGTTCTTTTTTTTTTTTTTTATTTTTTTTGAGAGAGTGAGAGAGCACAAGCAGGGGAGAGGCAGAGAGAGAAGGAGACAGAATCCCACGCAGTCTCCACACTGTCAGTGCAGAGCCAGTTGGGCTTGAATGCATGAACTGTGAGATCATGACCTGAGCCAAAATCAAGAGTCGGATGCTTAACCGATTGAGCCACCCAGGCGCCCCTCCATTAAAGTTTTAATCAGGATACTTAGGATAATTTGATTTCAGTTTAATTTTGGTTACCTTTATAGAAAGTTTTTCATTTTCAATGTTTGTTGCAAAAAGAAAAAGAAAAAAAAACCTTACTACATACAGCTTCCTATTTTATTTGTTTATTTTTAAGCTAACTTAAATGTTTATTCTGAGAGAGAGAGTGGATGTGCATGAGTCGGGGAGGGGCAGAGAGAGAGGGAGAGCGAGAATCCCAAGCAGGCTCCACGCTGTCAGCATAGAGCCCAATGTGGGGCTCAGACCCACCAAGCGCGAGATCATGAGCTAAGCCAAAATCAAGAGTTAGACACTTAGCCAACTGAGCCACCTAGGCACCGTGCTTCCTACTTTAAATAAGTGAATATTTAACAATCCAAGACTTTCAGAGCTTTACGATGGGTAAGTGGCAAAGGGGAGACTTTCTGTAGAAAGCAGTCTGAAGTTTCCCAGTTAATAATTGTCCCTATGTCTTCATCTTTGGCCACCCTTGACCCCAGTTGTGATTAATGGTGAGGCCCTTAGGAAGAACTTGTTCTGTTGAGGGGTAGGGGTGAGGAAGGGAAGAGGATGACAAAGGAGAGGGGATCTGGGGACACAGCATCTCATTATAAACTCATCTGACTTCATAAACCTAAAGGGCAGAATAGGCAGTGGCAGCATTATAGCACATTTTAGTATCATTTACCCACCCTAAAAGTCAAATGCCGAAAGAAGAAAATTGTTACTTGAGAGTTCTGGTGCTTTGAGTTCTGTTAATCAAGACTTTAGTCTTAAGATCCAAATAATGGGAATCATTACAATTTTTGAGATTGGTAGATTTGTTACAGAAATATTAAAGGAAAAACTTAGGCATTTTTCTTATTCATCTAACATGTAAACATAAATGTGTTATTGTGATATGCTTCTTGACAGTTTTCTTTCTCTGCTTTATGAATTTAGTTGTACTAGGTTGGCTTTCAGCTTTTTAAAAAAGTAGTTAAAAAAATTTGAATTCCAGTTAGTTAACGTACACTGTTGTATTAGTTTCAGGTGTATAATATAGCGATTCAGTAGTTTTACTTGGTCCTCATCAAGATGTTGTACTCTTAATCCCCTTTACCTGTTTTACCCACCCCCAACCTACCTCACTGTGGTCACCATCTGTTTGTTCTCTATAGTTAAGAGTCTGTTTTTTGGTTTGTTTCTTTTTTTTCTGCTTTGTTCATTTGTTTTGTTTCTTAAATTCCATATATGACTAAAAATCATATGGTGTTTGTCTCTGACTGACTCATTTCATTTAGCATTATACTCTAACTCCATCCATGTTATTGCAAAAGGCAAGATTTCATTCTTTTTTTATGGCTGAGTAATATATATGTGTGTGTGTGTGTGTGTGTGTGTGTGTGTGTGTGTGTGTGTGTGTGTACACACACA